GGGGGGGGGTACTCTGCACATAAAATGTCAGTGAACCCTGAATTGTAAGTTCCCATGTAAGGGCCCCTATTATGACCACATTTATAGATGAGGAAATCGAGGCTCAGAGAGGGCAAGCAGCTTGCTCAAAATCACATAGCCTGAGGCCCAGCGTGGTGGCTCATGCCTATAATCTCAGCACTTTGGGAGGCTGAAGTGGGCGGATTGCTTGAACCTAGGAGTTCAAGCCCAGCCTGGGCAACATAGCAAAACCCCATCTCTGCAAAAAATACAAAAATTAGCTAGATGTGGTGGTGCACGCCTGTGGTCCCAGCTCCACAGGAGGCTGAGGTGGGAGCATCATCTGAGCCCAGGGAGGTCGAGGCTGCAGTGAGCCATGATCGAGCCACTGCATTCCAGACTGGGTGACAGAGTGAGACCCTGTCTCAAAAAAGAAATCACATGACCTGAAAGTGGCAGAGGCAGGACTTGAACCCAGGCCTCTCTGTCTTGGAGGCTGGCAGGGGCCAAGGACTGATAGAGCCAAGAATAATGCCAAGAATAATGCCCCAGGGCCCCCAGCTAAGCGGGGGGAGTCCTGGATACCTACAGCCGGAGCCATCCCACTGCTCCCCTCCCCCACCCGTGGCCCGCCAAGGATCCGGCTGTCAGTCATGGAGCTGGCAGGTCGTAACTCATACGACGCTGAAGTCTGAGGGATCCACGCAAGGACGACAAGCGATCCCATAAAAGACAGGCGATTTACCAGTTTAATTTGATGGCCGCATAAACTATGAAACACACAACAAGGGAATAAAAAGGCAGCCAGGCACCCAGGCAATTAAAGACTCCTCTGGTGAGGTGTGCCATCTTCCTCGCCACCCCTTGGCCCCGCCCTATTTTCCTGTAGCCAGAGGGCTCAGCCTCGGGCTGGCCTTGGGGGGCGGGGGGTGGCAGGGGAGCCTCTGGCCAAGATGGATGAGGCCCACAGACAGTGGAGCAGAAAGGCCTTGGGTCCCTGCCTCCCAAATGCTTCTTGGTTATCTATCAAGCATCTCTGAAAGGTGCAATTTAGACTCTATTATGATGCTGAGGCCTCTGGAGGCTGAGGACCGTGGCCATGAGCTGAGCGGGCACTGGGAACAGATGTCCGTGCCAGGGAATGCGGTGGTTTGCCTTGGCTTTTGCCTTACAAGTTTGCCCCCTACTTAGGGCACTGCTCAGGAACAGCCAAGTACAAAGGCCACCTGTATCCCTTGTGCCAGGAGTCATCAGCCAACAGACCAGGGAGGGGGGTAATCCTCCAGCCAGATGCTGGGGGGCCCCTGGCAGAGGTGCTCCTAGACTCAGACTTGACCCTGGAGACGGAGGCAAGGTGACCTGTGAGCAGGCCTGTGTCTTCCTGTCTCTAGCACCTGCCCTGTGCTACCTGCCTGCTCATAAGTGACTTGAGGCAGGACCTCCGGCTCCATAACCTTCATGGGCCTAGCTCGGTGCAGAAGGGACAGACGTGCAGTGGGAAATCTGGGCTGACTGTGACCTTGGCTGGGCCCCTCTTGTCTCTGAGTCTCAGGCTGCTGGGCTGTGAAATGAGGGCTGTGGACCTGTGTGTAGGTGGCAACCTCTGCACCCTTGCCTGTGAAGGGGAGTGGGTGAGGTCTGGCCAGAGAGGTCACCCCACCGCCTAGGCTTTTCATTATCCTCTGGAGGCTGATGTGTCTAGCTCTGCATGCTGTCCTGGCCTCCAAGCCCGTCCTCTCCCACGATCTGGGCCAGTGTCCTTCCCAGTTCCCGATGTAATGAAAGGTGAGGTGTCAGATAAGGGCCTGGGCAACCTGGGATGGCCCTGGGCAAAGGAAGCAGGAGGCTCACGGGAGAGTGGGTACCTCCGTGAAGGTCTGAGAATGCTCAGCCTGGGCCGCAGGACTGTGTCTGGGCTGGCCAGGGACTCACAGCCCTCAGCAATCTGGAGTCAAGCACTGGGGTCCTGCAGCCACACAGCCCTGGGGTGGAATCCAGACCCCACCTCCTCCTGCCAGGGGACCATGGGCAGGTCTCTGTGCCCCCGTTCATTCATCTACAGAACAAGTCCATCACAGTTTCTCCTTTGAAATCTTTAGTGAGCATCTGCCACGTGGGAAACACCATGAGTAAGATGCACGAATCCCTGCCCTTATAGCGAGTACCTTCTAGTGGGGAGACAGACAATGAAAACAAAAAAGGGCCGGGAGCGATGGCTCACACCTGTAATCCCAGCACTTTGAGAGGCCCAGGGAGGTGGATCACGAGGTCAAGAGACCAAGACCATGCTGGCCAACATGGTGAGACCCCGTCTCTACTAAAAATACAAAAAATTAGCTAGGCGTGGTGGTGGGCACCTGTAGTGCCAGCTACTCAGGAGGCTGAAGCAGGAGGATCACTTGAACCCGGGAGGCGGAGGTTGTAGTGACCCAAGATGGCTCCATGGCACTCACACCTGGTGACAGAGCGAGACTCCATCTCAAAACACAAAACAAGACAAAACAAAACAAAAAAGATAAAACATGTAGTGTGTTAGTTGGTGGTAAATACTATAGGTAAGCAAGGAACCGAGAGGAGTATCTGGGAGTTATAATTCTTGATAGGGTGCCCAGGAAAGGCCTCACCAGAAGGAGATGCAGGCATGGATCTGGGGATGAGCTGTCTGGGCAGACAGCACAGCATGTGCCAGGGCCCTGGGGATACCAGGGGTTGCCTGGCTGCTGCAGTCAGTGAGAGGGGAATGGAGTGGACAAGGCCAATGGGGGTGCCACACAGGATTGCATAGGGCCTTGGCAGCCACCTTGATGACTGTGGTGGCTGTCTGGGCAGAGACCCTGTAAGTGCAAAGGGAGCTTTTGAGTGTGCAGGGGTGAGTGGCAGAGGCATTCACCATGGTGGGGCCCATTCTGTCGTCGGGTGGCCACTGATGTAAAGCCACACTTGGCCACAGTCCCTGCCCTTGCAGTTTGGTGACATGAAAACACCAGTCACCAAACAGTGTGACCTGCAACCCACAGAGTGCTCCAGCCTCAAGATTGCCAAGATTCTGGCCTCCTCCCCAGATGGCCTAGGTTCCTCCTACCTGGTTCTCAAGTAGTCTTGAGTAAGTTAACATCTCTGAGCTTCAGTTTTCTCATCTGCTCAGTGGGATTAAGGGCACTGACCTCATGTTTGCTGGGAGGGTTAAATGACTTAAATATTAGGAAAGTTCTCAGCAAAGTCTTTATTATAGTTTGAGCTACCATCCATCCCATCAGAAAGGAATCCCAAGTGGCTACAACAGGGCCTGGAATATAGTAGATTCTCAATAAAGCTCTGTTGGATGCATGATGGATGGATGGATGGATGGATGGATGGATGGATGGATGGATGGATGGATGGACAGGTGGGTGCATGGATGGATGGATGGACAGGTAGATGCATGGATGGATGGATGGACAGGTGCATGCCAGAATGGATGGATGGATGGATGGATGACAGGTGGATGCATGGATGCATGGATGGATGGATGGTTAGGTGGGTGGATGGATGGATGGATGGATGAATGATGGACAGATGGATGAATGGATGGTAGGTGGATGGGTGGGTGGACAGATGGATGGGCAGAACAGAGGGAAGCTTTATCTGGGGCCCCAGGAAAACCTAGTAGAGGAGGTAACATTTGAGCTGGGTCCTGCAAGAGTAACTTGCGTGATGGAAAGAAAAAGCAGCCAGGAATAGAGAAGGACAGAGAAGACAGAAAGTTTTGCCTGGTTGAGAAACAGGTGTTCAGTCCCTGGGGCATGGAAGTAAGGTCCTTGCTGGCTCAGTGGGCAGGTGCCGGCTCTGCTGTGTACACCAGGGCTGCCCTCCCAGGCTGGGGCTTCAGGCTCTGAGAGACCATCTTGTCCCATCATTGAAAAGCCTCCGTGAACCCAGCGTTTTACAGCAGACTTTTGCTGGCTGCATGAAGACACCTTCCTCACTGAGACTGAAAGATAATTTCTCTTTAATTGATTTTTTTTACCACTATGAACAGTAAAATAATATAAGAAAAATCTATGCTGCAATTTTTCCATTTGTGAAAACTGAAATTACACCTTCCAGCCAATTCCCTCAGAGTACAAATGCCTCCCTCCTTTTATTTGTCTCATTCCTTTAAACTTTCAGCTATTCCAGGAAAAAAAAAAAAAAAAAAAAAAACGGTCTGTTTATGATTTGAGAAAGGGGCAAGGTGTGGGACAATTTCCCACACAACTCGAAACCCAGGGCCAGGGAGGCACCTCTGATGAAAAGAGATTTCTGTAAATACATGAGAAAGTGATTCTGTTGACACCTCATTCTTCTGTCTGTAGAATGTACGAGTGACAACAGGACATGTTGTTTTAACACCAGACAATGAAGCTCCCTGCTCTGCACTCCTCGCCAGTGATGGCACTGACAGCTTCGTTCTCGCAGGTTCTGGTGACGCCCCCCTTTTGAGCTCCTGGGCCTTCCAGAAACAAGCTTTCCTTTTGAACCCTGGGTCCGAGCCAGATAGCAATGCCTGCTCCTCGTGCGGTGCCAGGGAAACAGCGGCTGTGAATCCATAAAACACGCCCTAAATCCATCCCATCCATATTGACTGGTACCTTTAGCATTGGCCATAAAGACTGGCTTTATGTGAAGTCTTGAGAGAAGAAACCAAACCTGCCGCATGGCTCTCACTAAATTAACCTCCCCGAGGCTCCGGATCACATTTCAGGAGGGCTGTGGCAGCGTGCGTCTCATTAATGGGCAACCTCTTGGCTCCCGATACGATTTAACGTTAGCCAGATGTTGTTAGACTCTGACCTTGGCGGGAGCAATCACCTGTGGCATAAACCTGGCACAAAGGCCGCTCCTCCAGCTTGACCGCACCCCGCAGGACCTGACTTTGGCCACCCCTTGTGCAGGCTGGCAGGCGGGAGGGGTGCACGATTCGTTCCTGGGGTCACTGTCGCCTCCTCCCTCTCACTGACCCCGCCCTGTGCTCCTTGCAGGTATTCAGGCTCCAGGCCAGGTGGGGCTGGACACCCCCAGCCATCCACCATGGTGGTGGCACACCCCACCGCCACCACCACCACCACAACCACTGCCACTGTCACAGCCACCGTCATGATGACCACGGCCACCATGGACCTGCGGGACTGGCTGTTCCTCTGCTACGGGCTCATCGCCTTCCTGACGGAGGTCATCGACAGCACCACCTGCCCCTCGGTGTGCCGCTGTGACAACGGCTTCATCTACTGCAACGACCGGGGACTCACCTCCATCCCCGCAGACATCCCTGATGACGCCACCACCCTCTACCTGCAGAACAACCAGATCAACAACGCCGGCATCCCCCAGGACCTCAAGACCAAGGTCAACGTGCAGGTCATCTACCTGTACGAGAATGACCTGGACGAGTTCCCCATCAACCTGCCCCGCTCCCTCCGGGAGCTGCACCTGCAGGACAACAACGTGCGCACCATCGCCAGGGACTCGCTGGCCCGCATCCCGCTGCTGGAGAAGCTGCACCTGGATGACAACTCTGTGTCCACCGTCAGCATTGAGGAGGACGCCTTCGCCGACAGCAAACAGCTCAAGCTGCTCTTCCTGAGCCGGAACCACCTGAGTAGCATCCCCTCGGGGCTGCCACACACGCTGGAGGAGCTGCGACTGGACGACAACCGCATCTCCACCATCCCGCTGCATGCCTTCAAGGGCCTCAACAGCCTGCGGCGCCTGGTGCTGGACGGTAACCTGCTGGCCAACCAGCGCATCGCGGACGATACCTTCAGCCGCCTACAGAACCTCACAGAGCTCTCGCTGGTGCGCAACTCGCTGGCCGCACCACCCCTCAACCTGCCCAGCGCCCACCTGCAGAAGCTCTACCTGCAGGACAACGCCATCAGCCACATCCCCTACAACACGCTGGCCAAGATGCGTGAGCTGGAGCGGCTGGACCTGTCCAACAACAACCTGACCACGCTGCCCCGTGGCCTGTTCGACGACCTGGGGAACCTGGCCCAGCTGCTGCTCAGGAACAACCCCTGGTTCTGTGGCTGCAACCTCATGTGGCTGCGGGACTGGGTGAAAGCACGGGCGGCCGTGGTCAATGTGCGGGGCCTCATGTGCCAGGGCCCTGAGAAGGTCCGGGGCATGGCCATCAAGGACATCACTAGCGAGATGGACGAGTGTTTTGAGACGGGGTCGCAGGGTGGCGTGGCCAACGCGGCTGCCAAGACCACGGCCAGCAACCACGCCTCCGCCACCACGCCCCAGGGTTCCCTGTTTACCCTTAAGGCCAAAAGGCCAGGGCTGCGCATCCCCGACTCCAACATTGACTACCCTATGGCGACGGGTGATGGTGCCAAGACCCTGGCCATCCACGTGAAGGCCCTGACAGCAGACTCCATCCGCATCACGTGGAAGGCCACGCTCCCCGCCTCCTCCTTCCGGCTCAGCTGGCTGCGCCTGGGCCACAGCCCGGCCGTGGGCTCCATCACAGAGACCTTGGTGCAGGGGGACAAGACAGAGTACCTGCTGACGGCCCTGGAGCCCAAGTCAACCTATATCATCTGCATGGTCACCATGGAGACCAGTAATGCCTATGTAGCTGACGAGACACCCGTGTGTGCCAAGGCAGAGACGGCTGACAGCTACGGCCCTACCACCACGCTCAACCAGGAGCAGAATGCCGGCCCCATGGTGGGCCTGCCCCTGGCGGGCATCATCGGTGGGGCCGTGGCTCTGGTTTTCCTCTTCCTAGTCCTGGGGGCCATCTGCTGGTACGTGCACCAAGCTGGCGAACTGCTGACCCGGGAGAGGGCCTACAACCGGGGCAGCAGGAAAAAGGATGACTATATGGAGTCGGGGACCAAGAAGGACAACTCCATCCTGGAAATCCGTGGGCCTGGCCTGCAGATGCTGCCCATCAACCCGTACCGCGCCAAAGAGGAGTACGTGGTCCACACCATCTTCCCCTCCAACGGCAGCAGCCTCTGCAAGGCCACGCACACCATTGGCTACGGCACCACGCGGGGCTACCGGGACGGTGGCATCCCCGACATAGACTACTCCTACACATGATGCCCGCCCACCTGGGCTGCCTCGCCCCAGCCTCAGCTGCCCTGGCATGGCCACGTGGCTTTGCCCAGCCTGCTGCAACCTGAGAGAGCAAGGAAGAGAAATTCCACGGATGACTTTCCCCCGCAGAAAGCAAAGTTTGGGGAGGGCTGACGATTTTGTAGAACACAACCGTGACAATTTTTTTTTAAAGAATAGAAGGCAGGAGGGGGAATTCGACATTGTTGAAGACATAATTTATACCGAGTTATACCAGTTGGGGAGGGAAGGACTAAAAATAATATCACAGGAAGGGCTGGGTTGGGTTTTTTGTTGTTTTTTTTTTTTCTCCTGAACTGGAAGGATACTACCTGTACAACATCTGTGGACACCTCATGCTCTGTTCAGGGCCGTCACAAAGGAACCGCCAGGGAGAAGCAGCCGGCTCTCAAAGCTCCCACGCAGCTCTCCCGCTGCTGGCCACTCGCTGGCAACGCGATGGAAGGTTTTCAGGCTCCTCACAAAGGAGAGAGGGAAGAAAAGATCTTTTGCCCTGGAGATACGGACCTGAAATCTCTCCCCTGGCTCATTCCATACCATTTCCCTTGCAGATTTGCAGAAACATGGCGTCTTTCACTGCATTCTTTGAACAATCATGTAGTTGATTAAAAAACAAACAAACTTGTTTTTCCCTAGGCTGAAGCCCTCTTCAGTTCCATGCACCACGCTCTCCTGTAGAAGCCCCCGCGGAAGCCGTAGCTTTCCCCGCCACCTGGAGGTGCATCTGTCTGCCTGTCTATCCCTGTCGCAGTGTCTCTAAGTACAGATGGGTAGACAGAGCCACATGCACGGTCCTTACCGTTCTCCTTGGGTCAGTTCTTACCATTTCCTGAGACAATAGAATTGCGAAAGTGTTGCTTTCTCCTAGAGATCATTGAGTAAGTAGACGGTGTGTTGGGGATGGGAGTGAGGTGGGGGAAGAGACTTGGTCTCTGGGGGCTACTGCTGTTCCTAAAGGCTGAGGCGTGTATGTCTCAGACGGGTGGCTTAGGGAGGCGTCGCAGCAGGGGCTTCTAGTTCCACCCTAGCTCAGCTTGGCCAGCGCTGGGCTGCTGTCCTTTCTGATCTAGATAAAAGCTTTATTTGATTCCAGTGTCCTCATCTCCCTCCCCCACCACGTGCAATCACCTTAACAGCTACTTTTGGAGCATTTACCATGTGCTGAATGTTCCCTCCTAGGACGGGTAATTAGCGCAGGGATTTTTTTTTTTTTTTTTTAATATCAGCTGATTAGACCTATTGGTTTCCATGGCTGCTCAAACAAAGCCCAGAAAGAGACATAAAAATTCTCAAAAAAGCCCTGGGTGACGGCAGTCCCTCCCTGAACGTAGAAAACTCAGCTGGGCCCACCCCTGGGACTCTGTTTCTTGAGAGGGAGAGGCCAGATCTCTTTCTAAAAATGCCAGCCTCCAAAAGGGCCCTGGCTGGGGCCCTCAGAAGAGTTAAGATTTTATTTCCTCTCTCTGGAATCTATGTCGCTATCATTCATTTATCAACTGACAGTGCAGTGTGGTGAGCCATGAGATTAAAACGATGATGAAATAATGACAGCGAATCGGAGAGGGGGGAAGAGTGGAGCCTGCGTCCCAGTACTCGGGGAGCCCGGGTCACCATCTGTCACTGTGCTGCTTGTTCTGCGCCGAGGAAAAGGAACGTCAAAGAGGAGATGCTGGTCCGAGGGCAGGAGGATGAGAGGGCTGGGAGCGCCTGGTGGTGCTCTTTTCAAACGGCCTCCGCTGCCGTGCGAAAGCAAAGGCAGAAGCAGCAGCGGGGCAGGGGTTCCGTTAAAAGGCCCGACCGGCGCCTTCAGTGAGGAGATGAGGCTGAAAGGAGCGGACACAACAGCCACGTGGAAAGTGGAAGGACGGGTGCAGGTTCCCAGCACGGCCCCGGGGGAGCTTGCCCACAGAACAGGTCCACTCCTCAGCCCTGGGGAACAGCCAAGCAGCGTGGGCACCTTTCACTTGAAACTAGACGTGTTTTTCCTTTTCCTGCCTGAATCATTTTCTCACACAATAAGGTCAAGAGAGAAACTTCCCCAGGCCTTAATGTCAGGTCTGTGTAAAAGCCCCAGGCCGGGCGCGGTGGCTCACGCCTGTAATCCCAGCACTTTGGGAGGCCAAGGCAATCTTCTGAGGTCAGGAGTTTGAGACCAGCCTGGCCAACATGGTGAAAGCCCGTCTCTCTAAAAATGCAAAAATTAGCTGGGCGTGGTGGCGGGCGCCTGTTACCCAGCTACTCGGGAGGCTGAGGCAGAAGAATCACTTGAACCAGGGAGGCAGAGGCTGCAGTGAGCTGAGATTGTGCCACTGCATTCTAGCCTGGGCAAAGAATGAGACTCCATCGCAAAAAAAAAAAAAAAAAAAAAGTAGGCCCTCCCTGTGGACCACGGCCCCCCCCCGCCCTGAGACGAGCAGAAGGGCCCACCTGGGTTGTCTGGGAGGAGAGAGTGCCCGAGGTGTGCCATGTTGGCATGGGGGACAGAAGTCCCAGGTCTCTGCTGATTCTAAAATGAGCCCCCCCTCCCTGAAGGGCACCACTCTGATCACTGCCTTCCCCCAAGTGCCACCCATCTGCAACACGGTGCTGCCAGCACACTGTCCCCACCTCACCTAGGTCCCCTTGTCTCCTCTCCTTACCCTAGACAGGTCAGGTCATGCCCTTAGTGTTTAGGAAGGCATCTGGGGACAGTAGGTGGCCTGGACTGACAGCTGCCTGGGAAGGTCCCGCTGGGCTGGGGCAGGAGTGCGGGGGACTTAGTGCTAGACAGCAGGCAGAGCTGGGAGCCAGCCTGTGCCCAGCCACGCCCTCCCAGACAAGGCCTAGGTGATGAGCCTTCCTCCCCCGCATTGCACAGAGTGGGCCCAGGCAGGCAGGATCCCTGGCAGCTGCCCCAGAGGAGCTCCTTGGGCCCCAGGACCACACGAGTCTCCTGCTCCTGGTTCTTGCACTAACTGGGCGAGCGCGGGGCTCAACCCCTCTTACCAGACCCTGCCTGCCTCGTTGCAGGGATCACCCGCCCCCGGAGCTCTAAGTGCGGATGAAGGTGGAAGCTCCACCCAGTCAGGGCCCTGGGACCCAGCTCTAGAGCTGACTTTCTCATCTTTTCTGCCCCTCAGCAATCCTGACACCTTCCCAGGGTCCTTTCTGGGCTTTCCCAGAGCAAGCCCCCAAATATCTGCTGTATCACAGCCCCCTCAGCCAGGGAGGGGGCCAGAAGCTAGGTCCGTTCTGAAACCCCATCCCCTCTTGGCCCAGCTCTTCCCAGCTGGTCTCACACCACAAGATAGGAGATGTTTCAGGACACCCTGCCTTCCCCCGGGCCTGTCTAAATTCTCCCGGGCTCCCGTGCACAGCCGACATTTCCAAGGGAACATCCTCGGCCGGGCTGACCCTCACAGCCTCTAAGTAACCAGAACAACCTCAGCGGCCTCAGCACTGATGAGTACGTTTTGTGGCATTTAAGGCAGGTTTAAAGTTAAAGATAAAAAAAAGCCCACGACACTTCTTTGGTTAAGTGGTTTACCCTTCGTGGTAATTAGATGTAGTGATTGGAATGTCTTTTCTATTACATGGCAATCTTCCTTTAAATTTCCCCTTAAAAGAAAAAAAAAAAAAGGAAAGGAAAGGAAAGGAAAGAAAAGGCAAGGGAGGAGAGAGAGAAGGCACCAGCAGGCCGGGAATCATTTGCATTTTGCCAATGAGGCCTCTTGTAAGCTCAGCTCAGGCGTGGGGCCCAACGTATGGAATGCTTAAGAGATTACTAAAAATAAAATCTATTAATTAGTCATACTCAATTCCGCAGACATGATGTGCATCAAAAGCTGCTTTTCTTCCCTTTTCTCCTTCCCCCTCCCCACGGCCTCCCGCCACAGCCTCCATCTTCTTTAAATAGGCTGGGGCTTGCTAGACCACCTCCATGCTAACATGGTACATGCGGCAGCCAGGGGTCTCCCTGACCCAGGGCCGGGATGCAGGTCTGGAGCCAAGAGCTGGGGCATTGCACCTTCCTGGCTCTGGGTGACGCTGGCAGGGGAGGGGACAGTACCTGGGAAGATGGCAGCAGCTGGGAGGGGCCCAAGCTGACTCTCCCAAAGCCCAAAGCCCACACCTGCCTTGTGCCTCTTCTCCCTCCCTCTATGCAGGCACGGGGTCTCCTCCTTCCCCTGGGGGTCCAGGAAACCCTCCCTCTGAGCCCAGCCCAGCCCTGTCCGAACAAAGCCAGGCAGAGAGCCGAGGAGGCGGTCAGGGAGATATTTTCCAAGAGGTGCAGGGAAAGACAGTTCGGTGAGAATACGGCCTCTGTTTCCCTTTCAGTAAAGTGGGGGTGTGCTAGGGCGGGGTCCAACGTCACTCAGGAAACTGGTGCTCCAGAGGCCAAGTGGGGGTCCCTCCCCAGTGCTGGCGCTGAAAGGTCCTAGCTGGCCCAAGTCAGGTGAGGGATCCCTGAAGGGTGGGAGGGGCTGGTCAGGGCCTGAGCAGAGGACAGGCCGGGACCCAAGTCTGCCTCCAAACCTGTGCCTCCCTCCTTCATCTCCAGCCCTGGAGCCAAGGAGCCAGAAGAGGAGGAGAAAGAGCAGACCCTCCCCCTTGAAAATGGCAGCTCAAGTCCCAAAGCCAGCCCACTTCAGAAACCTGCTTCCTGCTGAACATGCCAGGGAGGAGGCAGGGGCTTCTGAGCCTCGCACTTATGAAAAATACAACAAGGAGAATTGGATGTGGCAGAGAGTGAAGGGGCGGGGAGGGCAACGGGGAGAGCAGGGGCGGTGCTGGCAGGAGGGGCTGGGCGCAGGGACCTGTGCCCCCAAGGGCCAGACCCTGCTTTCAGGGCCAGGACACAGCCAGGGTCAGTGGCGAGCATCCGCGTGCCTCCTCATACTCGATAGGCGCAGGTGACAGCGGCTGCTGCCTGCCCCTGGGTGGTCACAAGGGCGAGCGCCAGGGCGAGCACTCACAAGCGATTCGCAGCCGTGCATCGGCCTTCCTGAGTGCAGAGAGGAGGCATGTTTTTTTCTTAAGGAGGGATAAAAAGGCTCAAAAATGCAAATCGTTACCGTTTACAACCAAGGGAGTCTGCTAAATTGATTAGGAGAGGTTAAACTCCTTGGAGGTGAAGGGAAAGGGGGATTTTTCGTGGTTTATGAACCTGCCCCAAGTGGCTATCTGCACAGCAGGGACTTCCTGGGCCTCGATGGGTGGCGGGGGCCGGGGGGGAGGTGGATGCGAGGTGGGGGGCACCTGCCCTGGCCTGGCTCTCTGGGGAGCCAGGTTCTCTGAAGACCAACACCGAATGGGTCAGAGTACTCAGGCTTGAGGCTCCAGCACTGCCCTAGGGAAAGGGGCTCAGGCCTCTGCGACAAGTGGCCCATCCAGTCCTTAGAGAGTAGACTCTAGAGTCATGGGCTTTTCTACTTCCTTTCTGTTCTGGGTGGGTCTGTCTCCAGTCCACTCCTTGTGGCCAGTAAAAGGGGAGTGGGCAAAGGGAAAACTGAAGGTCAGGGAAGAGAAACTCTAGCCCAGCAAAGGAAGCAGGCAGTGAGCTCTCCGTCACTGGGAGCATTCAAGCGCTAGATGGGGACGTGGCAGATACTTTCCTCCCAAGGTCTGGTGCTTTGACTAGAAGATCCTGGTTCCCACCCTTGCTTTCTCATCCCCCAGGACACTGAAAGGGAGCAGATATCAAGAGATGTTCACTGTGTTGCTCAAAGTCACTGGAATCCCCCGAAAACCCCAAGTCAGGGCAGTCCTGTAGCCAGACCATCCAGCCCCACCAAGAAGCCACTTGTGCCAGCAGAGAGGCTGCAAAATACCTATTCTCAGTGTCCAAGAGGCACCAAGAAAGTACAGATGTGCGCCACCCACTTTC